AGAATTAGGCTATTGCTCCATCCCACTTCATCGCGTCAGCAGAATCTACATATGCGCTTGACCTGGTAATCTATACTTTATTTCGGCAGCATATGAGAGTGCTGCGACTGACGAATTACAGATTATGTAATGTTATGATTATGAATTATATATATATTGCAGCGACTGAACAGTCTCCTTCACTGCGTTGCAAACTTCTGATTGAAATTATAATACCCTGCAAGGGTATAAAAAAAGAACTAAAAACCCTATCGTGACAAAAAATAAAAAACCGACTGCTCCATATGAAGTGAAGTGCGAAATCAAAAATACAGACGCTTCCAAAAGTGCCAAAGAAAAAATTAAAAAACAAAGACAAAGAAAAATCAAGAAAGTGTGACAGGATGTTTTATTAATTATTTCTTTATTATTTTATTCTTTTACACACACACGTCTGTACTATTTCTTCGCTCGAATGACAGTGATCTTGCTGCACGTAGGCAGCTCTCTTTAACCCCGAAAACCAGTAGTACCGCTCTCTGAGAGAGAGAGAGTAACCTGCTCTCTCAGAGAGCGTAACTCATCGAATCGTGTGCCCAGACCCCACTTATGGCAATTGGCCTGCTACAACTCGGCCGTCCTGACCTTGAGATAGCCCACTATCTCGGCTAAGAATATCTTAAATTTAGTCTTAAAATTAGTTAGCAATTTCATATAGTTTTTTATTCATCTAGATTTACCATCATCTTTCATCCAATGCCGGATATTATTAGCGCTCCAAACTCCTTGATATGGATTTCGAGATAATTGAAACCCATCGATGTCTTTTAACAAAAATCTATCGTTTCTCAAAACTTTTCCAATAATGTACGGTCCTTTGTTTTTGGGTATTAACTTCCTACTAACTCCTGCGGAACTATCAAAATTCTTTACCATTACATAGTCACCTTCTCTTTCGTTTCTTAACTGCGACTTTCTTTGATTTTCTTCTGCTTTCTGTCTAAGTTGTTCTAAATTTTTCCTATTTTCCTCAATGATTTCTTCTTCATTTTCTAAGTTTTCTCTAATTTCTTCTTCACCTTCTAAATTTTCTTCAATTTCCTCTTCGCCTTCTAATTTTCTTCTTAGTTGTTCCAAATTTCTCCTGTTTTCCTCAATAATTGCATCATCCTCCTCTAACGTTTCTTTAAGTTTTTCTTCCTCTTTTAACTTTTCCTTAAATTCATCATAATCTTCTCCTCTCTGGGCTATTCCGAATAAAATTTCACTGGGAAACTGCTTAATGCTGCTATGCAGTGTATTATTCAACGAATACTCTACCTTCTCTACTACTACATCCCAGTGTAGTCCTCTTTCTGGTTCTGAAAGTTTTGCAATCATCGGTCCTAAACTTCTATTTACTCGCTCCACTTGACCATTGGCTTGTGGTGATCCCGTAGCAATTTTTATGTGTTTTATATTCCTTTCCTCAACAAAATTTGCGAAATCCGTTGATGTGAAGCAACTTCCTCGATCTGATATAATACACCTTGGTCTGCTATATGCCCGAAAATAGTCTGCTAATGCACTCAAAACTTCTTTTGTGTTTGTTGTTTTCGTAGTATAAAGCCTAACAAATTTCGTGAATCCATCTATCACCACTAATATATGCATTTTTGATCTGCTATTGTCTACTGGGCCATAATGATCAATATGTATCACCTCAAATGGCTTATTGCCTTTCGGTATACTGTGTAGCAATCCATCTCCTTTACCTACTTTAGGAGAGAATGCTATACACTTCAAACAGTTTTGAATGTGTTCACAAACCTTATCTTTCATGCTCGGGAACCAATAAGTTTTACTAATCGCGTCTAACATCTTATCCCGATCAATATGCCCTAATTCGTCATGATACTTGTACAGAACATGTTGCTCCATTCTACTTGGTACATAAAACAGATGTCTATTGTTATTATCCTTCCTATATATAACCCCATTCCTCATCTCAAACCATTTATGTTCTCTGTTCTCTAAAATTTCCCTAATTTCTTTTAGCTTAGTATCTCTTGCCTGACAAATTATTAAGTTATCCTCAAAAGTATTTGCGTCAATTATCATAACATTATTACATCTGCTAAGTGCATCGACATGCTGCATTTGCCTACCTGCTCTGTGCTTCAATTCATAATCAAATTCCTGTAGCTCTAAAGCCCATCTCGCAATTCTTGGGTTTAAGTCTATCTTATTCAGAGTTAATGTTAACGAGTTACAGTCTGTGACGATTTTGAAAGGTTTACCCTGTAAATATATCCTAAACCTTCTAAGTGCATAAATAATAGCTAACGTCTCTAACTCAAAGCTATGATATTTCGCCTCAGTCGGTGTGGATCTCTTCGAAAAGTAAAATATTGGGTGTAGTTTCTTATCTTCCTTCCTCTGCAGCAGTACAGATCCAAAACCTAACGCACTCGCATCGCAATGAAGCTCAACATCATCTCTATGATCATATAAAGCCAGCACTGGGGCTGCTACTAATTTATCCTTCAAAAGTGTAAAACAATCCAACTCTGCTTTCCCAAACTCGAACGTCTTATCTTTTCTCAACAAGTCATATAGAGGTTTTGCCAATATCGAAAAGTCCTTTATAAATCGTCGAAAATAAGAACACAAACCTAAGAAACTTTGTACAGCTTGCACTTTACTCGGAATTGGAAAATTTTTTATTGCTTCTAATCCCTTCTCATCTGCTTTTATTCCTTCCTTTGAAATTAAGAAACCTAAATATTTTACCTTATCTTGTAGAAACTTGCATTTATCCATTCTAAGTTCTAATTTATTTTCCACTAATCTCCTAAATACTTCTACTAATATTTAATATTTCTAAATGTTCTTTGATATCGTGACTTGCAATTAAAATATCATCCATGTATATTATAACCTTGTTTTCTCGAATCATATCAGAAAAAATATCATTCACAAATCTTTGAAATACCTGAGGCGCTGTTTTCAAACCCATTGGCATACGTAAAAACTCAAACTGTCCTAATGGCGTTGTGAAAGATGTATACTTCACCGAATCTTTGTTCACGAACACATGAAAGTACCCATTCTTTAAATCCAATTTTGTAAATACCGATTTTCCAACCAATTTATCCAATAAGTCATCAATTAAAGGAATTGGATAATTATCTTTGACCATAATTTTGTTTAGCCTTCTGAAATCGATGCATAGTCTAAGCTCGCCACTCGTTTTCTTCACTAACACTATTGGAGAAGCGTATTCAGACCTACTACTCTGAATAATTCCATTTTCTAAGTATTCATCTAACAATTTCTGTAACGCTTCCTTTTCACTATACGACAGCCTCCTAGGGACACAACTAAATGGTTTTGAGTTCTCCAGAATTATATTAATTTCACATCTACTTTTCGGCAATTCAGGTCTCGGAACATGTATATAATTCGACTCTAATATTCCAATTAACTTTATTTTGTCTGTATAACTAACCTGTTCTCCAATATCATAAACCCTTTCTTCATTCTCATGCTCTAACATATTTATTTGCATCATTTCCTTTTCAAAATTTTCCTCCAAAACTCCCATTGGTTCATCTAACTTTTTTGTACCTAAAAGTTGCTCATCGAAATTGTTTGTTACACCTATCCTTACATCTTCCTCATATGCATTCCACAATGAATCTTTATTCAAAACTGTACCTTCAAAATTCTCATTCCAAATTGTACCTAAACTTTGTTTAGCTAAGCTTGTACCTAAACTGTTTCCAATTAATGTTGTACCTAAACTCTTTCCCTCTAATGTTGTACCTAAACTCTTTTCACCTAAAACTTAAGTGCCTAAACTCTTTTCACTTAAAGTTGTACCTAAATTCTTTTCACCTAACGTTTCACCTAACTGTTCATCCAAATAACTATCTCCTAATATTGTACCTAACTTCATGTCGCCTAATTTTATTCCTCCATTTTTTAGTTCCATACAATTATTGGAAAGCTCTTTCGCTTTTTTCTCGACATCAGTTTCAACACACTCTACAGTTACAATTTTCAATGCTTCCAAATCAATTTCTAGACCACAAACTTTCATAAAATCTCTACCCAGCACAATATTACAGCCCATAGATTCATCAGCCACTACAATTAATTTAAACCAAATCTTTATTTCATTTTTAAATATAAAGCATAATATTTTTCCAAAACTTTTCAATAAGCTTTTGTTTATTCCAAAATAACTCTCTTCTTGAGGTTCTAATTTAATATTCGCTGGTACATATGAACGCTTAATAAATGAAACTGGGCTTCCCGAATCTATTTGGCACTCTGTAATAATAGGCTGGTTAGGATATTCACTGCAAAAAATTTTCAACAATCTTACATTATTGTTTTCTGCCTTCTTCTTATTTCCGGGGCATTCAGCAATCCGGTGATCCTCTGCGCCGCATCCGTAGCACGAGCCTGGCGACCTCTTTGGCTTAGTGCACTCCCTCTTCCAGTGCCCCTTCGCGTTGCAATTGAAGCAACGAGTCTCGCTGCTCGCTGGAACCGCCTTTGCTGCCGCCAATTTCGCCATGGTTGGCCCCCTTGCTGGGAGCCTAATGTCTGCAAACGCCCTCAGCATCCTCTCCGGGCCATCAAAACATTGGAGCTTGGCCTGTGTACGCAAGCTTAGTACTGGAATGCCCTCCACGAGCCCATCCAGTAGTTCGTCCTCGTCCATTGCGACATCTCGAGCCAGTCTGCATTTCTCGCCAAAGTATGTGGCAAACTGCTCATTTGGAGACCAACTACGCGCTTCGAACTTGCGACGTAGTGCAGACTTGGACTCGATGCCTTCAAACGCCAACTTGAGTTGTTCCAGCAACTCATTAGCAGGCTTCGCAAACCGCCCTGCATCAGCATGCATCCATTCCAACGAATTTCCCTTCAATTTGCTGATCAGCAAAGCACGTCGCTGCATGTCTGACAGAGAATATAACGCTGATATATTCTCGTATTGCGCAATCCACGATCGCACAGACACTTTCTCAGTGAAAGATTTCCCAGGCCATGTTAAAGCCGGGTGACAACAAGCCGCTAGTTTCAAATCTGCCTCCGTTTTGCTGCACACCAATTTCGCCAGAATTGCCTCTGACGCCGCGTCTATCGCCGTCTCTATCTTCGCGTCTGCCGCCGTTTCTATCTCCATCTCTGCCTTCACCTCTGCCGCCGCCTATATTGCCGTCCCTGTCTTCGCCGCTGCCGCCGCCTATCTCGCCGTCTCTGTCATCGCCGCTGCCGCCGCCGCCTATCTCGCCGTCTCTGTCATCGCCGCTGCCGCCGCCTATCTCGCCGTCTCTGTCTTCGCCACGCTGTGTGTTCTCGAAGCTTCTAACGTTCTGCTCGAAATTCTCGGAACTGCTGTTGCCGTCTCTGTTCCTAAATTGCGCATTTTCGCCTACTTCATTCTCCGTGTCTTCGTTGCCGATCTGGCGATTCAAATTTTCAAGTTTTTTCTGTGCCTTTGCAATTTCGACACGCAAATTTTCCAGAGTTTGAACTTCGATCTGCAACTCCTCGCCGCTTTCCATGTCCGGATCAAGGGACTCCACGTCCGGCTGCAAAATTTGTCGATCCATTTCGGCACAATTTTCGGGAGCGCTTCCTCGAACTTCCACCGGAACTTTGGCTAGCCTCGCAAACAACTCGTTCTTCGTTCCCTTTGTTGACAAATTCAGCACCTCTAGCCACCGTTTTAATTGAACCACTGTTATTTCATTAATGTTTAGATCCATTTTAATCCCACTGGAGTTGAGGGAAATTTTTCCCAAATCCCACTTCTGAAGTTTGTGACAGGATGTTTTATTAATTATTTCTTTATTATTTTATTCTTTTACATACACACGTCTGTAATATTTGTTCGCTCGAATGACAGTGATCTTGCTGCACGTAGGCAGCTCTCTTTAACCCCGAAAACCAGTAGTGACGCTCTCTGAGAGAGAGAGAGTAACCTGCTCTCTCATCGAATCGTGTGCCCAGACCCCACTTATGGCAATTGGCCTGCTACAAAAGGAAGCTAACTTCTGCACGCCGAAGTTTGTATACATTTATAGATATAAATGTTGAAAACACTCACAAAACAGAGTTTCATTACAGTTTACCTCTACTTATTATGTTTACAGTTTGACAGTCACAGTTTCACATTCCCAGCTTTACATATTTTATACAATTACCGATCGCTTCTATGGCAGCTATATGATATAGTTGTCCGATTTTCATAATATTGTTACCAAAATTCTGAAATAAAACAAAGAGCTCAAAGTAGATAAAAATACGTAGAAAAACAACGAAGTTATAATTTTTGTTCGATTAATTTCCCGATCGTTCCCATGGCAGCTACATATATAGTCGTCCGATTTTCATAAAATTTTTACCAAAATTCAGAAATAATATAAAATGGTCATATCTATGGTGCAAAAATATTGAAAAACAGCAAAGTTATAATTTTTTTTCTAAAAATTTATTGGCAGCTATATATAGTGAGAGTATATAAAAGACTATATGCAAAGTTTCATTCAGATAGCTTTAAAACGTAGAAACGGACAGACGGACATGGCTAGATCGACTCGGCTGTTGATGCTGATTAAGAATATATATACTTTATAGGGTCGGAAACGTCTCCTTCACTGCGTTGCAAACTTCTGGCTGAAATTATAATACCCTGCAAGGGTATAACAACACAAAAACAACAACAAACCGAAACCAGACGTATAGAAGGCAGGAGATCCGCAGCGACAACAACAACATCAACATTAAAGACGACAACGACAGCAGCAGCAACAACAGCAGCAGCAACAACAGCAGCAGCAACAACAGCAGCAGCAATTACAAATAAATCTGCAACAACAACTACGGCGGCAGCGACGACCGAGGAGAAGGAGCAGCTAAGTCTAATTACAAAATTCTTTTTCAATATCTATACATATATGTAAAGTATTTATTATTAAGAGTTAGGTTAGATTAGGTTAGACCGGACGGCCCTCGAGGGGCCACACATAGGCCAATATGGCCCATAGCTATCCGGGGACACTCCTAGATGGACCTAGAGACTATTTATGCGGGTTTCGAGATCCTTGAATATCAAGGTGTTTTTCGCAAAGGCAAGGAGTTCACCTGGCTTTCTCCTGGAGGCATCTTCTAGCGATGCCAGAACTGGAGAGCCTAGGTATCTCATTCTTGCCCTCGTTAGGGCCGGACATTTGCAAATGAGATGCTCCAAGGTTTCGATTGCCTCGGATTCATCACATTTCCGGCATTTGGCGTTGTCGGTAATACCCAGCTTAACTGCATGTGCAGCAGACAGGCAGTGACCTGTAAGAATACCCATTAACATTCTGCTGTCGCACAAGCTTTGTTTATTTTGCATTTCTCATTTAATAGGGATATTCTTACACACCTCCTCAAAATAAACATAGATTATACTTTAATATAAACTAAATACAATGATTAAACTTCCATTTTGATAAGTCGAGCACTCTGAGGAGTATTACAAAAATTAGTCCAATATTTGTTGCAATGGGGGAAACCCAGAAAAAACCCAACCAGACCAATATAACTTAAATTAAATGTATTACAATATTAATGTAGTAGTTATTAATCAAATTAGGAAAATTGTGTCGCGCAGACGCGCACCAATATATACGTAAGATATAAAATAAGGATGAGAATAGAATATACAATAGAAAACTATGAATATGGAATAGATTTGAATTAAATGCGCGCGCGCACCATGATCAGGCGCAAAGGGTCACACTGGCCCAAATGAGGATCTGGCCACACTCTTAATGGCAAATTTCTCCGGGAGCGTCGGTCACACTCGGCCGCACCGGAGCGCTATATAAGGCGAGCTCCAGCCCTTGGAAGGCATTCAGTTTTCGGCCAGCAATCGGCCAAGTCCTCCACCAGGAGCTAAGGGGAAGCCAGCAGCAAGGAGTCACACAAGGAGCACGGTTAAGTAAGGTATATTGGTAAGCGGTAACCCATAGTCGGACCCCGACCATATCTTACGTCTATAACTTGTGGAAGGCCTTAGGGCCTCTCTGTACGTCTCAATATTGGAAGACCTAAGGGCCTCCCTATAAGTCTCTATATATCTCGGTAGACCTTAGGGCCTCCGTGCACGTCTCAATATTGGAAGACCTAAGGGCCTCCATATAAGTCTATATATCTCGGTAGACCTTAGGGCCTCCGTGCACGTCTCAAACTTAGAAGACCTTAGGGCCTCTAAAAACTTCTCTCTTTTAAAAGACCTTAGGGCCTCTAACCACTTCTCAAACTTAGAAGACCTTAGGGCCTCTACAAACTTCTCAATCTTAGAAGACCTGAGGGCCTCCACCCGTTATTCTCACTCTAGGAGATCTGAGGAGCATCTGCGCATCGGCGTTTCACCGACACTGTCGACCCGAGCGGGAAGGATGTACCTGACCCTGAAGTGCGGCGTTCCAGAGCGACTACCCGCAGCAGCAGACTAAACCCAATCTTTTTAACACTTGTAATGTTGGAGGCAATAAACAGATAATTATAGTTACGGCATATTTCTCGGCGTTCTACTCTGGGACCGGGTCGGCATCTCTTTCAGCAACCACCTCAGACAACAAATAAATTTCTGAGACGAACCCTGGCCATCCTTGAGCCCCGAGGAACCTAACCTAACCGTCACAGTGGCGCCCGAACAGATTGAGTGGTTGCAAGAGATAGACCGACAGACCGGTAGAGTTATGTCGACCTAGGTATATTTAGGGTCGAAGAACGCACCTGCGGAATACACGTAAGGGCTCAAGACAGGATTGTTGCATTGAGTCGGGATCAGAGCAGACAGATCTGAAGATGGAGCGAAAGATGGACGTCGAGGTCCTGGACCGGATACGAAGCTGGGGAATCCGGTACGATGGGATGACTAATCCACTGGAGTTCATTAAGAAAATGGAGGATTGGGCGACGGGATACGGCATCCAGCACGATCAAATGGTGCAAACGATGCCATTCATTTTGGAAGACGCAGCAATCGACTGGTGGATCTGCTTCCCTGTCAAAAAAGACAGTTGGGCAAAGCTGACATCAGAACTAGTTGATTACTTCTTACCACGAAGGTACAAGGAGCAATTAAGGGAGAAAATTTCGCAGCGTAAGCAAGAAGAGTGGAAGTCGGCGAGGGAATACGCAATGAGCTTAAGGCAAATGATGAGATTTGCAGATTTGACAGAGGAGGAAAAATTGGACCGTATCTACGTAAATTGTAAAAGCGAGATAAAGTTGTATACGAGAAGATCGGAATTTAAGACACTTCTCGAATTCCTCAAACTGGCGGAAATAGTCGAGATAATCGAATCGGAATCGGGTTTCGAACAGGCACAGCAAAGACTCATCCCGGAGATCAGCGAGGGATACAAGGAGTGCTGTGGAACTGCGACGATTACACCAGAGCAGACAGGCCAGGAGATTCAAGACCCGTATAACACACTCGGAAGTCGAAAGAGCGAGTCGTATATGCGGTCAACCGATGGGCAAGGAGACACAGAACAACCAGAGGAAGCAGAAAGGGAGGTCGATCAAGACGGTATGGACACGGGAATCATGGACCAATCAAAGGAGGTTGCGATGTGGGCAGAGGAACTGGAGCGAAAAAGACGGCGAGAGCAGGAAAGTTACGGAGTGGAGCAGGAAGGGCCAGACGTAAGGGAGCAGATGATGGCAGAAGTAGAAGCAGGGGCAAAACTGCAACGAGCAACCCCAGGCAACGATGGCACGACGATCCAGACAACGGAAAGGGGCAAGAGGAAATGGCAACGGATAAGTTCATCGGTAGCACTAAGAGCATGCGGCGCGGGACTTGCTCAAGAAGAACAACCGAGAGAAAAAAGGAAAATACAACGGCAGATGGTACAATCAGAGGGCACCACCGGATCCTGGAGAAGCGTATTCGACAGGGGAAAATAATTACGGTGCGGTATCACACCGCCTCCGAAGCGAGGGGGGAGTGTGACGCGCAGACGCGCACAGATATATATATAAATTATAAAATAAGGAGGATAATGGATTAGACAATAGAAAACTATGAATATGAAATGGATTTGAATTAAATGCGCGCGCGCGCCATGATCGCGCCCAAATGGTCACACTGGCCCAGGAAGGGCCTGGCCACACTATTATGGCAAAATATCTTCGGGTGCGGCGGTCACACTCGACCCTGCCAAAGCCCTATATAAGGCGAGCCTCAGCCCTTGGAAGGCATTCAGTTTTCGGCCAGCGATCGGCAAAGTCCTCCACCAGGAGCTAAGGGGAAGCCAGCAGCAAGGAGTCACCCAAGGAGCACGGTTAAGTAAGGTATATTGGTAAGCGGTAACCCATAGTCGGACCCCGACCATATCTTACGTCTATAACTTGTGGAAGGCCTTAGGGCCTCTCTGTACGTCTCAATATTGGAAGACCTAAGGGCCTCCCTATAAGTCTCTATATATCTCGGTAGACCTTAGGGCCTCCGTGCACGTCTCAATATTGGAAGACCTAAGGGCCTCCATATAAGTCTATATATCTCGGTAGACCTTAGGGCCTCCGTGCACGTCTCAAACTTAGAAGACCT